TAATAAATATATAAAATAAATAGTAAATATATTTTTTATCATAAAATATTATTTAAAAAATGAAATTATATATTTGCAAAATACAAAAATATTATATTTTTATCTATAATATTTCAAGTATTAGTATAGATTATAACTTATAGTGGCTTTTGAGTTGGTTATTTTCAGTGCGTCAGTCAAATCAATCTTAATGACTCATTCAATCTGACTGAATCAATAACGAAAGCGAACTCTGATCCAGCCAGAAATTCGAATCAGAATTATCCATTTTATATACTTATTTATTGAAATGGTTTGTAAAAGTTATTCAAGAATGAATAACAAGAATATAACCTCTTTATGTGAACATTTTTATAACCACAGATTTGTATATGTTGAAAAACATCAATATTAACATCCTCCATCATTCAGCAGCCGCACTGAACAGCTCTCATCCAGCACATGGAGTCCTGTAGAGCTGTTTTACTGAGTAATAAGCATGACGGCATAAGGTATGAAGGATTTCTGGCTCTCAGCACACCCCATAAATCGGCCTTGTAACCTGGGCCGCTCCTCGTGTGGCGCTTTGCTCCATAACAGACCAAGCGTTCAGCACAACCGCTGCTCTTAAAAGTGTCTGAGGGATTGTGCGTGATGGATTCACACACACACACTCTTATTTTGAAGGATGGTCCCCATGGAGCTCCACCCCGCCACACACAAATTCTCCCTGAGAGGATATTTTTCTTTTTATCAATTGTCCGGTGCACGCAGTAAATAAATCAACCAGGGCTTTTTTTTTGCGTCTGTTTCCTTGTCTACCCAGCCCTCGTAATTCTTAGACGACCTGCCACAGCCCTGTGTGTGTGTGTGTGTGTGCGTGCGTGTGCGTGCGTGTGTGTGTGTGTGTGTGTGTGTGTGTGTGTGTGTGTGTGTGAGTGAGAGAGAGTTTGTCTCAGCTGCTGTCCACTCCGGTGTGGTTGAATCTGCATATACCACCCTGTGTGTGTCTGATAATGCTATAAACTGTGTGTATCCTTGTATCCTTGACTCAATGACACACTTAGGTGTACACACACTTAAACGTCAGACACTGATATGGAAGAGTAAAAAACATAATCTATAGCAGAGCTGCTATAGCTTTAGAATTTGTGCACTTTAACCTGATGTTACTAACGTTTAGTACTATACAAAAGATTGGTATTTCAAATAAATGCTGTTCTTTTGAACTTTCTATTTATGAAAGAATCCTGAAAATTAAAATGTATCACTGTTTCCAAAACATATGGAATATATATATATATAATTTATTTTGTGATGACTGACTTGCTGTACATTTATCACTTACTTTTGGCAGTTTGAGGGAGAATAATGATGCAATGTGAACTGCATTGCATCGTGGGATGCAGTCTCATGTGCTCTAGTTGCATGCATACATTCATGCACATTTTGTCAAATGTAGTACATCATCCAGTTATTGCATGCATACAAAAAGTTGACATACTGGGAACTGTATACATACTGCATTCTGCAGAAGATAGATAGATAGATAGATAGATAGATAGATAGATTGTGTAAGGAAGCAGAGAGTAAGGAAGTGAATGAGAGAGTGTTAGTTCAATAAGAAGGATGTGAAGGAAAAGAGAAGAGGAAGAGATGGATGGAGGAGGATGTTTTCTGGCAGTGTCAGGTCAGCATTTGCGCTGCGTGTCATGTAGGTGGGTAGCTGTGGATCGGATGCTGGAGACGGAGAGACCACAAAAGATGGAGAGACATTAGTGACACTCTGAGTGTAACAAACAGAGACAGAGGAGGACAACAGAGAGCTGAGTGGAGAAGACAGCCGTGCGGAGGAACCGCAGCGCAGGGTTCCAAAACCAAAGGACAAAAGTGGAGTACGCTTGCAGAGAGCTGTCAGTTAAAGGGTTAGTTCACCCAAAAATGAAAATTCTGTCATTAATTACTAACCCTCGTGTTGTTCCAAACCCGTAAGACCTCCGTTCATCCTCGGAACACAAATTAATATATTTTTGATGGAATCTGACAGCTCTCTGACCCTCCCATAGACCGCAAGGGTACTACCATGATCAACGTCCAGAAACGTAGCAAGGATATCGGTAAAATAATCCATGTGACATCAGGGGTTCAACCGTTATATTACGAAGCTACGAGAATATTTTTTGTGCGCAAAAGAAAGAAAAAAAAACAACTTTATTCAACAATTTGTCTCCTCAGCGTATGCTGTTGTGTGTCAGCTGCGTCACACGGATACGTTTTCTACGTTGTTTGTGCTTTGATTTGAACGAAAACAACGTATCCACGTGGTGCAGCTGACACAGAACAACATACGCTGTTTGTGTTCAGTGGATACTCTCCAAAATGGTGCTAGGGTGATGCAGAGGAGACAAATTGTTGAATAAAGTCTTTTTTTTTTTCTTTTGCGCACAAAAAGTATTCTAGTAGCTTCGTAATATAACGGTTGAACCCCTGATGTCACATGGATTATTTTACCAATCTCCTTGCTACGTTTCTGGACGTTGATTGTGGTAGTACCCTTGCTGTCTATGGGAGGGTCAGAGAGCTGTCAGAATGCATCAAAAATATCTTAATTTGTGTTCCGAAGATGAACAGAGGTTTTACGGGTTTGGAACGACATGAGGGTGAGTAATTAATGACAGAATTTTCATTTTTGGTGAACTATCCCTATCTAGCACACCTTTTCAAGTGGTGTATGGAGGTGGGAAGATATCAAGACACAACCAAATCCAGTGTGTGCAGAACATTCCTTCATCCAGCTGAGATATAAATGATCATTAAACATTTGCTTAGTCTTCACTAAAGCTCACTTGAATCAGTTCGAGATCATCAGACATGATGTTGTGGTGCATTTGTTTAAGCCAGTTTCTGTATTTTCATGCAGAACTGTTTTATTTTACGTCAATTATTGGTTTGCAAATCAGTAAGGCTGCTGGCTTTGTTTCAGACACCGTTTTAGTTTTGTATTTTTATAAAGGGCATCTTCTGCCTTGCTTATCTAACCTAATGATGGATTTATTAACTTTATGACCAAGCACAAAGACCTCTGAGATCAAAAAGGTGTTTTTGTGGCTTTTAGATTAGTTCTGCTAGATTTAAGGTCATCTAAAAGCTAGTGTACATAATATATACTACCATTCAAAAGTTTGAAAGAAGTTTTTTTTTTTTAAGAAATTAATACTTTTATTCAGCAAGGATGCATTAAATTGATCAAAAGTGACATTTATAATGTTACAAAAATTTCAAATAAATGCTGTTCTTTTGAAGTTTTTATTTATCAATAAGTCCTGGGGGAAAATGCATCACAACTGATTTCAACATTGATAATCATAAGAAATGTTTACTGAGTGGCAAATCAACATATTAGAATGATTTCTGAAGGATCATGTGACACTGAAGACTGGAGTAATGATGCTGAAAATATAGCTTTACATCACAGGAATAAATTATATTTTATGATATATTCAAAGAGAAAACAGTTATTTCAAATTGAAAAAATATTATTTCACAATATTGCTGTTTTTACTGTATTTTTGATCAAATAAATGCAGCCTTGGTGAGCAGAAGTGACTTAGTTAAAAAAATGTAAAAAATCTTTCTGACCCCAAACTTTTGAACAGTAGTGTAAATTTTAAAATTTACCGTTTTTCTCTTCTAAGACCAAAATGGACCAAAAATGATCTGTTTTGACTGGAGTATATACAAACTGTGTCCAATAATATGCTCTCTAACCACCTATAAAATGTAGCATCTAACAAGTCAGGTTTTGTCATTGCGTCTTTGGTTGTTCTTTTTGATAAACTTCCTGATGTTATATTGCATCTTTAGAGCAGCAGTACATACAGTACAGAAGTGTTGTAAAACCTTTGCTGGTTTCTCCTTTAAGAGTGTGTGTGGAACAGAAGTGGGTGGTTTCTCCCTCCATACAGTGATAACCTTGTCCAAGGTCAGGCGTGATGTCTGAATGCTCTCCTCGGACGCCGCAGGGATAGATGATGTCTGACCGTTCGCAACAGTCACAAGTGCTTCTCTGAATATTTCCATATTTATGGAGCTCTGATGTGTGTGTCTCTGTTATCAGAAATATCTGCCTCTCGTTTTTTGGTTTGATATTGTTTGTGGATATGAGGATTTGTTTGTCTGCAGTTTAAAAGGCCACGTTCCCTGTTACTAAGCATGTTCTTCAACAGATCACCTCTATGGATTGTCTTATATCACTTTTAACATTGGTAATGATGAATTTTATTTGTAAAAAGCACATAAATTATGATAAAGCACAGAATGTAAAGACCTTTTGAGAAAAGATGCAAATTTGTAAACAAAGCTTTACAATAAAAAATAAAAAGGAAAATAAAATACACTATTTTGGATCAGTAAGATTTTTTTAATGTCTTTCAAAGAAGTATTTTATGCTCAGCAAGGCAGCATTTATTTGATCAAAAATACAGAAAAAACAGTAATGTCATAAAATATTATTACAATTTTAAATAACTGTTTTCTCTTTGAATATATTGTAAAATGTAATTTATTCCTGTGATGCAAAGCTGAATTTTCAGCATCATTACTCCAGTCTTCAGTGTCACATGATCCTTCAGAAATCATTCTAATATGCTGATTTGCTGCTCAAGAAACATTTATTATTATTATTATTATTATCAATGTTGAAAATATTTAATACTGTAATAAATAGTTTGAACTGTTTAATATTTTATGGAAAACATGCTTTTTTCTGGATTTATTTGAAATAAACATTATAATTGCCTTTAATGTGCCTTTTGATTAATTTAATGCATCTTTGCTGAATAAAGGTTTCTCATTTCTTCAAATCATACTGACCCCATTTTGAGTGTATATAATAATTAAAAAAACTAAAACTATATGAATCCAAAGCAAAATGTAATTCAAATGTGAATGATTGAAGCTTGTCTAGTTTGAAATAGTAAAAGGTTTGTCCACAGACTATAATGTTTCGTGATCTCCTGCAGCTCCCACGATCCTCAACGAGCTGAACTGGACTCAGTCTCTGGAAAGGGTCTTCATTGAAAACAGTCGTGAGGATCCTTCGCTGCGCTGGCAGGTGTTCGGCAGCGCCACCGGAGTCACCAGATACTACCCAGGTAAAGCTCTTCTGTAGGAAACCCTTCTGTAAACCACAGTACATCCATTTCTGCCAGCATCTTCTGTAGGAAACTCTTCTGTAAACCACAGTACATCCATTTCTGCCAGCAAACTCTGAGTGTGTTGTGTTTTCTCTCTCTAGCCACAAAGTGGAGAGCACCCAACAAGATTGACCTGTATGATGTGAGGAGACGCCCGTGGTGAGTACGGTCAGCCGGCGGAGGAAAGACTCCATTTAGTCTGACTTTGATCTTGTTGTTTTCCCCGGCTCCCCGGCGGTCTCTGCTGCAAAGAGCAAGCAAGCGTGTGAAGTTTGAATTAAGTCGGACTGCCACAGTTTACAGTGCCGCCTACACCGGGGGTCAGAATGTCTCAGCGGCGTCCAGCGGGGTCAGTCTGTCCCCATGTGCTCGCTTCAGATCTATAGGGAAGACTTTACATTATGATTTCCTGCGTCATTGCGTTCCTGCACCAGTAAATGCTGCGCAAGAGGCGCTAATGCAAGCTTTAGCATAAACTGCCTTCTACAGCCAGTTTTCTCTTTCAAGTCAACTGTCATGGCAGAGCATTAGATTTTTTAATGTGTGGGTACAAGCCTGGCTCAGATGCAACCTCCAAAATGAGAATAAAATCTAGCTGTGAAGAGGAAATCAATGGAAAATTGGCAGAATTTTTTGCAACATTCATTTTTTTAAGCTTTCTTTTCTTTCTTTCTTTCTTTCTTTCTTTCTTTCTTTCTTTCTTTCTTTCTTTCTTCAATTATTCATTCATTTATTTATTCAGCTGAAGTTATTTTTTATTTAGCAGATTTTATTTATTTACAAATGTATGTATTTATTTAGTTGAATTAAAATAGTAGTTCTTTATAATATTATTAAATATTAATTTAAATAAAGTTATTTTCATTCATTATTTTTATTTAGCAGAAGTTAATTCATTCTTTATGCATTTATTTAATTGAATTTAATATATATTATTATATATAATATATAAAAAATATGCTTTTATTTAGCTGAAGACATTTTATTTAATAAATTCATTTATTTGGCATGTTATTTATTTATTTAATTATGCATTCTTTTAGCTGAAGTTATTTTATTTATTTATTTTTATTTAGCATCATATTTATATATTTGACTGAAGTTATTTTATTTTTTTATTTTTTATTTTATTTTATTTGGTTTATTTATACATCTAAGTTTAGACTAAATTGTTTATTTATTTTTAATTCAGCAGAAGTTATGTATTTATTTATTTTTTATGCATTTATTTAGATGATGTTAAAATATTTATTTATTTATTTATTTATGCACTTTTAAGCTGAAGTCATTTTATTTACAAATTAGTTTTATTTTGCATAAGTTATTTATTTATTTACTTGTGTATTTATTTAGCTGAAGTTATTGTGTTTATTTAATTATTTTAATTTAGCATAAGTTGTTTATTTAGCTGAAGTTGTTTGATTTAATTTTATTCAGGCATTATTTATTTATTTTGCTGACAGTATTCATGCCTTCATTCATGCATATTTATGATGTGGAAATATGTCACAATATGGGCAAAATGTCATAATATAGGCAAAAATTTTATATGCACTCAAAAGTATATTGACTTTCTCATTAACAGCAAAGTACATATTTTAGTGTGTGATGTAAGTGAACATAGCAGCAGTGCATTAGCCTGGGCCAAAGTGCTTAGTATGTAGCGGACGCTTTCGTCCAGAGCGACTCACAGTACACTTGTCATAGGAACAATCCCCTCAGGATTAGCCCGGGGTTAGGCGTCATGATCGAGGGCATAACTTTAGCCGCTACGCCACATCACCCCTACAGATTGCCCACAGAAATACATATCTGTCTACTTAATGAAGAAAGAAAAAGCTATTTAGGTGGAAAAGCAAGGTGTTTAAATGGAAAACAAATTGTTATCAGGTGCTGGCGTGTTAGCCGGCTGGATGAGCGTGCCGCATGTTTCCCAGAGTACGGGAGTCTTAGCGAGGCGCTAATGAGCTTCTTCTTTGACAGAGTAATTAAGTTCACACTCAGGGAAAGTGTCTCCGGTGGAAAAAAAAACAATCCCCAATATACCTGTAAGAAGCTTTTAACCTAAAGACAAACAACACGAGCAGCCAGCTAGTTAGCTTGTTTGGCTGACAAAGCACTAATGTTGCTGATGAGCCGGAGCGAGCTCTACATTGTTTTTGTTGTGATGCCACACTCTCTGCAGACATAATGAGTTGCTTTTAATGCTTTTGTGAGTGTGTAGGCTAGCGGTGCTGTACAGAAACACAACAGCTCTATAAGCGGATGATGAATAGCTTTGGAGCGCGCTGTCAGCAGGCGCCCTGCTCCACATGCTGTTTCTGTTTTCATACGTCTACAGTATGCGGGTTTGTGCGGTGTGAGGTATGACCAAACTCCTCCTCAGATGAGGGAGCCATCCATTTGTCTTGGACTCTCTTAAAGAGTAATTTCATATCATGATTATGGTGCATATCACAGTATAAGCATCAAAAATGTTTGTATATGATGTAACCATGTGATCTGATATGACTAGTATTAAATATCTTTTTATACAAATTTACAGTTCACATTTACAAATGAAAGATTGTTTATTCGATTATTTTCTCCTTTTGTTCACACTTAATGGACACAAATCAAAATATCATATGATGCATCAAAAATAAATCGTACGTCAAGCATCAGTGCAAAAACAGCTTCATATTTTGTGACACTTAAAAACAAAAACAAAACAGTTAGTACAGTAAAACTGACCGACTGTCAATTATTATGGGATGAGACATATTTTGAAGCTGTAATATATAATTTTATAAAAAATTATATGTATATTTATTATTATATTTATATTAACTTATAATTATATTCATTTAATCTTATTATTGCTGTTGCACATTCCATTATAGCATGTGTTTTACATGTTATTGCAATTTTTTTTATTAAATATTTTTGCTAAACCTGTATTTTTAACCATAACATAACATGAAATAAATATTGTTTTAATAAGTTTTATTATTTATTGAACGTTGGAGTCTTTTATAATATTGCTGTTGCATCTCTTTTATTATATTTTATTGTAATTTATTATAGTTCAGATTTTTACATCTACTCATATTTTTTTTAAATATATGATTTATAAATTATAACACTTATAATGATATATATAATAAAATTATATATATGTATATATATCTATATACTGAATATATATACACACACACATTCTTAATAAGTTTTGTCATTTATTGAACATTGCTGTCTTTTATAATATTGCACCTATTTTATAAAAGCCTTTATGCTTCATTATTTCATAGTACATTTTTTACCAATTAGATATTTATTTTGCATGGCTCTTAAAAGTGTGAAATATTCTTATTTATTTCTGCCTGCTGCTTCCTAGTTGTAGGGTGATTAGTCACGTGGCATTTAGTGCTCAGGTGATTCACTCATACAACAAATTGGGCCAGGTGAGCAGAGATGGCAGAGGAAGATTACTCTGATGAGTGTGAATGCTGAATGGCTCTTTATAGGTATTACAGCGGTCTACTTTTGACACATTTGTAGCAGCAGCACTAGCATCTAAGCATTTGTCACACTAGCCGTCTGCCTACTGCTCTTTAACCCCCCCCTTTGAGACTGTTGCTTGGCAACCTGCGCTCTGCTCTGCTGATTGGCAGGGCCGTGGCAGCAGGGGAAGTCGGATGTGTCTGGTCAAGTTCGCATGATTATGGTCAACACGCTGTCATTGTGTATTACACTCTTTACATGGCTTGACCACTCAAATAACAGCCTGCTGCTTAGCTCAGCTAATGTCTCAAACACGCTAGAGCAGGAGTTTGGAAGAAACTCGGAGGAAACTTTTAATATACTGTGCTATTTTAAAATAGATTGTTCTGGTACTGGATGCTGCATTGGTTAATATAGCGTTGCAGCCATGCTAAACACAATATAGCTATACTGTACTGTGTTTTCACTGTGAAGCATCTAACAGCTATTAGCAACTATTAACGACTTTGTCTTGAAGCATGGATGATACTCAGATAAAAAACACTTTGATTTTAATTATAAATGCAGTTATTTATGAGAACTTACAATTGATTTTAACACACACACATATATATACTGAACAAAATTATAAACGCAACACTTTTGTTTTTGCCCCCATTTTTCATGAGCTGAACTCAAAGATCTAAGACTTTTTCTATGTACACAAAAGGCCTATTTCTCTCAAATATTGTTCACAAATCTGTCTAAATCTGTGTTAGTGAGCACTTCTCCTTTGCCGAGATAATCCATCCACCTCACAGGTGTGGCATATCAAGATGCTGATTAGACAGCATTATTATTGCACAGGTGTGCCTTAGGCTGCCCACAATAAAAGGCCACTCTAAAATGTGCAGTTTTACTGTATTGGGGGGTCCGAAAACCAGTCAGCAACACATCTCCTTCGCATAGAGTTGATCAGGTTGTTGATTGTGGCCTGTGGAATGTTGGTCCACTCATCTTCAATGGCTGTGCGAAGTTGCTGGATATAGGCAGGAACTGGAACACGCTGTCGTATACACCGATCCAGGAACAGAACAGGAATGGAATAACAATGGGCCTCAGGATCTCGTCACGGTATCTCTGTGCATTTCTAATTAGTGACCGTTGTTTTGTTTTGATGTCTCCCCTGCACATCCGCATGCATCACTTCTGAGCTGCGCATGCGCAAAGCCGACCTCATACGTCATCCGCCCGGAGCTGCTTCCGTGTACAACAGTGAGTGCACGATACATTAAAGTGATTATTAAGTTTGAATAGGGATATTTTTCTTACAAAAACGCATAGATTCGCTACAGGAGACCTTTGTTCACCCCCCGGAGCCGTGTGAGACACTTTATTTTATGGATGGGCGCTTTTTATTTCACTTATTTTGGACTGATGCATGCAACACCCGCTGAGTGCCATTAAACAGCTTGAAAGATCAAAGACAATTTTTAATATAACTCCGACTGGATTTGTCTGAAAGAAGAAAGTCATATACGCCTAGGATGACTTGAGGGTGAGTAATTTGTGGGCTAATTTTCATTTTTGGGTGAACTAACCCTTTAAGGCAATATTTCATATTTTATATAGCAATTTGAACTGTTTAAAAATGTAAACTGGTGAAAAAATATTTTTAAACTGATGAAAACATTTTT